CCAGCTGGTCTACCTGCTGGAGCAGGTGCGGCGGGAGCGCAGGCGCGCAGGGGCGCCCGAGGCCGCCACCCGGCTGGCCTGGCCTGACCTGCCCTGCCCTGGCTTCTCTCCCGCAGCTCCCCGGCAAGAAAGACTTGTTCATTGAGGCCGACCTGATGAGCCCGCTGGACCGAATCGCCAACGTCTCCATTCTGAAGGTGCCGTCGGCGTCGCAGTCGTCGCGGCGCCCGCATGCTTCTGCATGTCGTGCGCCCGGCAGAGCGTCTGCCTCCGGCAGGCAGAAATCCAACTGGTGCGACGCTCCCCATCGCAGACTGCGGGGAGGCGTCGCCTGTCCTGTTGCATTTCTGCCTAGCTGAAGGCGCAGGAGCTCTGCCATGCTGGGAAGGGAGGAAGAGCCTGTCGGAATCCCAAGGTGTGGGGAGCCCGCCTTGACTATGGCGGTAGTTTAAATAAGCATGTAAGCCAGCTCTCTCTTCTGGCGAGTCCGCTTAACTAGCAGCTTCAGAGCACTTCTGCTGCATGCTTCAGGGAAAGGGAGGGCTAGGGAAAGTATTCCAGCTTTTCCGTAGGCGCTCTCCCAGCCGAAAAAAAGAAAAGGCCCTGAATGCACATCGAGCTACTAACTCCTGGCTTTTGCCTTTCCGTACAGCAGCACGAAGTCGACAAGCTTTACAAGGTGGAGAGCAAGCCAGCCCACAGCACTAGTGACCAGTGAGTGGGCGGCACGAGGCCTGCCTTGCATATGCAGCGCTGCCCTGCGCTTGCCAGGAGCACTTCCTGCCTGGGGAAGGGTTCTGTGGCTTGCCAAGTGCTCATACTCAGATGCCGTCTCCTCCCTCCCTCTCCCTCTCCCTCTCCCTCTCCCCCTCTCTCCCTCTCTCCCTCTCTCCCTCTCTCTCTCTCTCTCTCTCTCTAGATTGTGTTTCTTGGTACGGCCGCGCATCAGGAATGTGAAATATGTGGCTGGTAAGTTCATAGCGAGCATGCACGGGCTGAGGAGAGGAGCCATGGCTGCAACTCTTGGCTAAGCAAGCCCAGTGAACAGTCCCAGGTTGAACCGTTTGTGCTGCTCATCCTGAAAGGGGTGCAGGCACACTGGCAGCACAGTGGGTACTTGATTGCAGTTGTGCCCCGGAAGGGGGCTGAAGGACAGACTAATCAAGCCTTGTTGCCAGGCTTCTTTGCTCTGTACCTCCTCGTCCCTGAAAGGTGCGTGGATGCTGACTCGTGGGCACCTTGAGCGCTCAGATCAAGGACAGAAATTGTGTGGTTCTCAGGGTAACTTCATCCTGTTTGCCTCTTGGGATACGCACTCTGTTTGGCAGGATTTATGCGCAGCCCCAGATGAAGCCAAGTATCCCTGTGATCTGTACACTCTGGCCTCTGGCCTCTGCCAAGAGCTACTGGCAAGCTGTAATCCCTGCCTCCGAGGAAGGTACTCACTGCAAGGCGAGACTAAGCTAGAGAAGAGGGAGGTTGCGAACACGCGTTCTAGGAATTTTGAGTTGTGTCAGCCTCGAGTATTCTTGAGAATCATTTGGGTGAAAGGCACTGTCAAAATGCTGTCTTCAAGCTGGACGAGCCAGCCCTTGGATTTGGAGGCATCTTCACTGGCTTTGGCCAGCCCCGACTGCTCCTTGATGTTTTCTCTCCAGACATAGTAAATGCTGATAAGGCAGCCGGCCGGATCCGCAAGTACAAGATCATCTTCAGCCCTCAGAAGGCAAGTGTCCAGCAGAAGCTTTCCCTTAGCAGAGAGCCTCGGTTATCAGGAATTGCCTCCCATCCCACTTGTGTTCTGGGATAGCTCAGTAACGATACGCTGCCAGATATCCCCTTGGCCTTGGCATATTTTCTTCTCCCTGAAGGTTGGCTCATAGCTCGAGCCAGAGGGCCTATCTTGTCCTCCTCTCACTGCATGATCTGGTGCTGGCTTTAGCAAGGGTGGTAGAGGAGGAGGGTGTGAAGGACGAAGCTGTAGACAAAGAAGAGAAGAGTTCGCCACTGCACGGACCAGTGTGTTTTGAACTGAATCGAATTCTTTTTTCAGAGGCACTCCAATAGCAGGCTTTGCAACAGAATTTGGAGGCTACACTGGGAATGGCTGCAAAGTGCCTCTGAAGAATTCAGTTTGAAGCACACTGATCTCAACTACAAAAGGCTGCTATGGATTTGGGGGAGATTTCCTGTCTCCTTGCAGAAGGGAGTTATTGCTTTGTGCTAGAAAGGCGGTCCGATCGTGTGGGAAGCCGTGGCTGGGTGTTTTCCAAGGCTGACAGTTTCTCTTGTCCTGTCCTGTGCAGTTCCACACATGTGAGATGGTGCTGGAGGAAGAGGGGATCTATGGGGGTAAGTTTCACAGGTGGGAGTAGGAATGTAATTCAGGGGCCTAACTCAGTGTCTATTCAGCCAGTGGACTAAGAGGGAAGGGGCCAGACAAGCCACGGGACGGTTATTCAGCCAGTTACAGGCTGTCCTGCCTCAGAGGCCCAGTCGCTGGCGTGATCTCAGGAGGCAAAGTGGGCGCAAGCGTCCAAGAGTGAAGTTCCATTGTGCACTCTCGGTTCCCCCCCAGATGTCACCTGGGATGAGTGGTCTTTCTATCTTCTCCCTCTGGATGATGATATCATCAGCATGGAGCTGCCAGAGTTCTTCCGAGACTATTTCCTGGTCAGTTCTAAGTTTTGGGATGGTGTGCCCCTGCATTCCTGGGCTCAGGGGCTCAGCGTTGCTTACTGGGGAGCTCTGGCGCTTGCAGCGCACTGCCCAAGAGAGCATTCCAAGCCGCTTTGCATTTCATGTGGTGCTTGACAGCTGTGATACATCGTATGCAGTGTGTTCTTTCAGACAGACCTGTGCAATGCAGTGGAGCCACAATTATATCTTTTTGAAACAATCCTGTGTTATATCACCATTTTTAGGGCACCAGAACTATGACCAGCAGCTGGTACTGAACTGCAAGACTTGATTGAATGCTTAAGCACAGCTTTTTTGTATCCTGTTAGTTCCACTTGTTTTGGTAGCTCCCAGCATTACTTTTGGCATTGATAGGAATGATCCCTGCTTTCCAGTATTTTCCAAAAGTCAATCTTGCTGCTGGGAGCAGGTGCAAAGGAGATTCCTTTCTTCCTATGCACGAAACATTGTGAACTTGACGCGTTCTCTTTGAGGAGGACCTTGTTTTGTCAACCTTTCCGATTGGTCCCCTCTTGTTGCTGCCATGGCCCACAGGAAGGCGATCAGCGCTGGACTGGTGCTGTAGCCCAGGCACTGCAGCTGCTGAGCTCCCTCTTTGGCCCGTTCACCAGGACCTATGGGATCGGGCGCTGCGCCAAGGTGAGGCCTTGCTCCTGTGGGAGGGTGTGTCAGCCGAGGAGGATGAAACGCCCCCTGGGCTGGGGCTGTGTGGTTGATGCGGAGCCAGGGAAGGGGGGACTTGCTGTGTGCAGGCTGGCTGTAGCCCACAGTGCCCTTGAGGCCAGCCCAGGCCTCCCCTTTCTCCACAAAGCAGCTGAGCTCACAAAAGCGGCTCCTGGCACATGTGGGGGGGAGAGGGAGTCAGGAGGGAGCGTTCTGCCACTGGTTCATGGTGGGTGGGGGGGGGGGAGGGGGTCGCTGCCTGTTTGCTGCTTCTCAGCAAGCCTCTGGCCAGGAGCAGCTGACAGGCAGGGCCTCCCGCACCTCTTTCAGATGGTCCATGAGCTCTGGCATGAGGCCATGGAGGAGAGTGAGGCTGACAATGTGGGCCGGAAGCCGATGGGCCACATCTTCCTCATAGACAGAGGTAGGCATGGGAGAGCCTGGACATGGGGGGCAAGGGGGAGCTAGTCCCTGCTTCGCCCCGGCGTCCTGGCTTGTGTCCCTCAGTAAAATTGCTCTGAGGAGCCGTTGGTGAGCTGTCCTTCCCCAGTCCCCCAAAAGCGAGTCTATGAGCAAGGAAGTGTGGCTCGAGGCCAGCGCTTCTCTGAAGGCGTGTGGCCTGCAGGCCTCCTGAAGCAGGCGAGCAGAGAGGGCTTGGAGAGCCAGAGAGGCCGATGGGGATGGAGGAGCCTTGGGGCCACGAGTGGGGCTTCTGAGGGAGCTGGGGTCTTGGGCCCGAGTGAAGCAAGCTCCGCTGCTTGTCCAGGCCAGAATCTGTGCTGTCGGGAGGCAGGAAAGGCTTGTGTGACCTCGTGGGCAGCTGGTCCCAAACAGCGCCCTTCTGCATGCCAAGCGAGCGCTCTGGCGCCGAGCTGTGAGGGGACCAAGCCCAGGATCAAGGCTTTCGATCAACAGATCAACACCTGTTCAGCGCCCTTCCTGCTGCCCCCCGTGTCTGCCTTTTCAGATGTGGATTATGTCACGGCCCTTTGCTCTCAGGTGGTGTACGAAGGCCTGGTGGATGATATGTTTCGCATCAAGTGTGGTAAGCTTCCCTGGCAGCGCTGATGCCGCCTGCCTGCCCTTTCTGCACGGGTGGCGCACGTGGGCCGGAGGGAGGGCCGCCTCCCAGCACGGTCCCCACGCCGCCGACGCAGCTGCCGCCAGTGGTGAGTGCCCTGGTGAATCTGCTTCCTGCAGGGAGCGTGGACTTCGGCCCGGATGTCACATCTTCCGACCGAAGCATCAAGGTGCTGCTGAACGCCCAGGACAAGGTGCGCCTGTGGCCTCCCCCACTCCCACTGCCCCCAGCTCCCTGTGCCTGGCAGCCCCGGCTTCCCCAGTTTGGCCGCAGGGCTGGCCAGCGCAGCAGGACTGGCTCGCTGGGAGCGGGAGGCTGCTTCCCCCACCCCCAGGCGTCAGGGAGGGCTGGCGCAGGCGCCTTCGGAGAGACCGGCCGACCTGCCGCATCTCCCCACAGGTGTTCAGCAAGATCCGCAACGAGCACTTTTCCAGGGTCTTTGGCTTCCTGAGCGAGAAGGCGCGGAACCTGCAGGCGCAGTACGATGTGAGTGGGCTGTGGGCGGCGGTGGCGGCAGCCGGGAGGGGTCCTCCGGGCGGGCTCCGGACGCAGGCGCTTTGTCCCCTCGCAGCGACGGCGTGGGATGGACATCAAGCAGATGAAGACCTTTGTCTCCCAAGAGCTGAAGGGCCTGAAGCAAGAGCATCGCCTGCTCAGCCTGCGTAGGTCTCGCGCTTCCCCTCCCTGGGAAGGGGGCCAAGTGAAGAGGTGCAGAGAGGTGCCCGAGCCGATCCACAACCTTCCTCATGTCCGCAGATATTGGGGCCTGTGAGTCTATTATGAAGAAGAAAACTAAGCAAGATTTCCAGGAGCTGCTGAAGGCAGAGCACAGTAAGCACGAGCCCAGCCCGCCCTCGTCTCCGGGACGCCTCTTGTTTTCGCACTGGAGCGAGGCAGGGATGCCAGGTGAGCGCCCACTCCCCGTTCTGCCCTGCAGCTCTCCTGGAAGGGTTCGACATCCGAGAGACCATTGGCTTCATTGAAGAGCACATCAACCGACAGGTGTGTGAGCGGTGGGGGGTGCTGCTGGGAAGAGGGTGGCCCACGGGGTGGGGAGATGGCCTCCTCCCCCTGATGGCTTCCTCTCTCCTGCCAGGGCAGGTCTCCCCCATTGAGAGCCTGCGGATGCTGTGCCTGCTGTCCCTCACAGAGAATGGTGGGTGCCTGCGGTGGGAGGAGGGGGTCCCCGGGAGCATGCGCCAGCGCTGCTGTGCCCTGACCCCTCTGCTGTTTCTGCCTTCCCAGGGCTCGCCCCCAAAGACTTCCGCTCCCTGAAAGCCCAGTACCTGCAGGTGAGGCCGTGGGAGAGCAGTCCTCTCCCTCCTCCCGCGTGAGCGCGGCCACCTGTGCCCTTCCCCGGGCACTCCACCCCCCAGCCCTTGCACAGTCCTGCACTGATGCGCAGCTCTGCCCCCGCTCCAGAGTTACGGGCCGGAGCACCTGCTCACCTTCCACAACCTGAAGCGCCTGGGGCTGCTGACGGAGCAGGTGCCGGGGGAGACACTGACCGCCGTGGAGAGCAAAGTCAGCAAGCTGGTGACGGACCGAGCTGCAGGTGAAGGGTGTGGGGTGACCCCACGGCTCCCCCATCTCTGGAGGGGCAGCCCGCCAGCCCTGCCTGGCACCTGAGCTGCCTCCCCTTGGCCCTTCCTCCCTCTCTTCACAGGGAAGCTCTCGGATGCTTTCAGTTCCCTGGCCAAAAAGAGCCATTTCCGGGGGATAAGCAAGAAGCTGGGCCTGGTGAGTGCTTCGGGGGGCGGGGGGGCTCCTGCAGGCAGCCTCTGGGTGCAACACGCCTGTTCCCTTGCAGATCCCGCGTGTGGATGGCGAGTACGACCTGAAGACGCCCCGCGACATGGCCTACGTCTTCAGCGGTGCCTACGTTCCGCTGAGCTGCAAGCTGATAGAACAGGTGCCTGCGAGCTGGGCGACCCCTCCTCCCGAGCCCTGGCCGGATGGCCAGCACTTGCCCACGGCACGTGGGCCAACGTGCCCTCCTGCTGCAGGTGCTGCCGGCCACCCGCCCTGACCGCCTTCTGCCCTGGGCAGGTGCTGGAGCGCAAGAGCTGGCTAGGCCTGGAGGAGGTGGTGCGGCTGCTCGGTGGCAATGAATTTGTGGTTACAGGTGAGTGGGCGGGAGGCCTGAGCGGGAACTGAGGGCCGCCCGGCTGCTACCTCTGCCAAGGTCAGCCATGCGCTTGTGTGAAGCAGCAAGACCAGCTGCTCCCTGGCCGGAGAGGGAGGCTGGCAGCTCGCCAGAGCCAGAGCCTTGGCCGCGCAGGTGGCCACACAGGCGGTCCTGCGCCGCATGCATTCATAGCCTGCCCTCTGGGCCTTTTCAGATGCATCTAGTGCGTTTTTTAAAATGTTACTTAGGATGCATTTAGGAAGCAGCACAGCCAGTGAAAATCAGTCTAGTGCTGCACTCTTAATTGTTTCCTTCCAGGTTAAGCCTACATTTATACTGGCAATTAATGCTTGAATGTTACCTTCTGTCTTGCCCACCTTCAGTCAAGGTTGGGCATTGCACTGAAACGAATCCAGCAGATAGTGAGACCACGTCCCGTTCTGTCCTCTGTGCAGATGCAGCTTTGGAGGAGAATCCTGCCTGTGAGTCCCAAAGAGTCGTTCTGGCGGTCTTCTTAGGCGGTTGCACCTTCTCTGAAATCTCAGCTCTTCGCTTTCTTGGCAAAGAAAGAGGTACGAGGCAGACTTGACTTGGAAGGATACTTTCCTGGCTGGGTGGTAGTGAGCTTGCCCTTTTATGATCTGGGATGGTAATAATCTGTGGGACACAGTTCCATTTTTTAATACATTATTTTGATGTTAAAAAGACGACAAGTTTCTAGCCCTTATGAAGTTTAGCTTTAGTTTAGCTCTGCACACACCCCAGAGAGAGGCCCAGAAAAACCCTTATGTAGAGTTCTTGGCTCTGCAAAACACCTTGTCTTTCCATGTTCAGCAAATTATGCAGATAAGCAAACATGTTTGTTAGGTGCCATCAAAGTAATCTCCAGCCCTTTGAAAGGAAGTCCTCCAAAATGTCCTACTCATGGCAGCCTGGCTCAGCTCTTGTAAATTCAAGGCAGTGGCTCTTTTAATGGAGTCAGACCCTCTCATGTTTGGTCCTCCTTTTCTTCTTCCACCTTAAACTTTCCACAACATGATGGTCTTTCAGGCAGTCTTGCCTTCTCACGATGTCTCCAAAGCACAGGAGCCTCAGTTTCGCCATTTTTGCTTCTAGGGAAAGTTCTAGCTTGATGAAGCGTGTCTGTTTAATGGCATGACAGAGATTTCCCAAAGCGGCATGTTTTCAGTGCACAAAGTGACTTGCGGTGCTCAAGGGGATTTCCCAGCAGGGCTGGGCTCGCTCACCTGGTTCCAGGACAGCCGGGTCCTCTCATGCTCCCCTGTTCTCCCGTGTCCCCAGGGCTCCAGTTCATATTCCTGACAACGGCCATCACCAACAGTGCTCGGCTGCTGGAGTCCACGGTCGAGACGAGGGCGTGAGGGCCGCTGCAGCCGACCCACCCGCAAGGACCCGTCCCCGCGCGAAGGAGGCCGGCCGGCCTGCCTGCCTCTGGCCCCGGCGGCCAGCGGCTGTCCCGCCCGCGTGGCGTCGCCTGCGTTGAATAAAGCTTTGTCCGGCCTCTGGCGTGTGTGCTCGGCTCTGTGCGCTCCGAACGCGGGGGGCGGGCTGGCGGGCGGGGACCGGGACGGCGGGGCCCGCGTACGGGCTGGAGCGGCGGCTGCCGGGGCGCGGCCGGCGGCTCCAGGCCGGAAGGAGGGGCTCGCGCCGCCGGCGCACCTGCGGGGCAGGCGGAGAGCCCTTTCCGCGCCGCCTCGGAACCGCCCGGGCAGCGCCTGTCGCGCACGCGCGGCCGCCACCGGGCGGAAGTCCCGCGGAGCGCGGCCCTCCCGCGTCCCCCTCCTGCGATTGGCCGCGGCCGCCGAGTGGGCGGGGCGAGGAGTGGGCGGGGCAACGGGTCGGGCGTCCTTTGCGGCAGCCAATCGTAGCGCCGGCTGGCGATTTGAATCCGCGGCTGAGCCGAAACGGGCGAGCGAGCGCAGCGCAGCGCAACGCGGCGGGAGCAGGCGGCGCCATGCGGAAGAGGTAGGCGCGGGGGACTGGGGGCTCCGGGGCCGGCATCGTGGGCGGGCCCGCGCCGGGGGAGCTCCGCGCGGCGCCTCCTGGCTCTTCGGCCCGGAGTGGTGGCGGGCGAGGGCGCCTTGCCTGGGGCGGCTGGCCTGACCCGTCTCTCCCCGCCGCCGCCAGCGAGATCCTAGCCAGCGAGTCGGTGGCCTGCCTGAACCAGGCGCTGAGCCACCTGCGCGACATCTGGGAGGAGATCGGCATCCCGGAGGACCAGCGCCTGCAGCGGACGGAGGTGGTCAAGAGGCACGTCAAGGTGAGCGCGCGGCCCGGCCTCTCCTCTTGCCCAGGGAAGGCGCGGCGGCGGCGGCGGCGGCGGCCCTGCCTCGCCCCGCCTGGGCTCGCTGAACAGGCGTCCTTGCCGGCCCCGTCTAGGCCGCCGGCAGGTGGGGGCGGTCCGGAGGCTCCTCAGGCCCTGATGGACCCTCCGAGAAGGCAGCTCTGGTGCGGCTGCCTTTAGAAGGGCGCCCCCTCAGTCCAGCCACCTTTATTTTCCGCCCCGCTCTCTCCTCTGCCCCAGGGCCTGCTAGACATGATGATAGCCGAGGAGGAGAGCCTCAAGGAGCGGCTCCTGAAGAGCATCGCCGTGTGCCGCAAAGAGCTGGCCACCCTGTGCCGAGAGCTGCAGCTGGCTCCCTTCGAGGTGAGGGGGGCGGTGCGGGCCTCTGCAAGTGCGCGCTGCTCTGGGGCTGGCTCCGCAGAGCTTAAGGGCGCTCTTTGTCTGCCAGGAGGATGAGGAGGCGACCATTCTGCAGCTCGAGAAGGATCTGCGCACCCATGTCGAGGTGATGCTGAAGCAGAAGCGGGAGAGGAGGCAGGAGCTGAAGGCGCTGCAGGAGCGGGACCGGGACATGTGCGACCTGCTCTGTGCCTCCCCCTACTGCATCGACAGCGAGGCTGTGCCCAGCCTGGCAGAGCTGGATCACTTCCGACGCCACCTGGCAGGCCTGGCCGCCGAAAAGGTATGCGCCCGCACACAGCCCGTGCTTGCGTGCAGCCGTGGGAGGGGCTCGCTCAGTCACATCTCCCTTTGGCTCCCAGGAGCGACGGCGGCTGGATTTCCTCAGCACGAAGCAGCAGATCGTCCAGTGCATGGAGGAACTGGAGGAAAGCCCGGACACGAGCTTTGAGCGGGACGTGGTGTGCGAAGATGAGGGCGCCTTCTGCCTCTCCACGGAGAACATCGCTGCCCTGAAGGAGCTGCTGCGGCAGGTGGGTGCGGCGCAGCGGGAAGCCGCGGAGGGATCCCCCACCGCTTCCCGCTGGCTGAGGCTGGACTCTTGCACTGCAGCTGGAGGCAAAGAGGGAGCGGAAGGAGGCCTTGTGCGAGGAGCTGCGCTCCAGGATCCGGGTGCTCTGGGAGAGACTGCGAGTGCCGGCGGAGGAGAGAGAGGCCTTTGCCCCACACATGGGGGGCTCCAGTGCCAGGACCATGGATGCTGTAAGGAGCACGAGCGGGGCTTAGCCTGCCTCGGGCCCTGGGGCGTCCTCTAGGGCTGTCAGCTCGAGAAGAGCTTCCTTGAGCCCCACTCTCAAAACCTGAGCACAAGGTTGGCTCCGTGCATCTCCCTGTGAGGGCGGTGGCCAGGGGGTCGTCCTGCCCCTGCTCGCGGCCCCGTGGCCCAGTGCCCACCGCATGGCGAGCTCGCCAGGAGGGGGGCGGGCAGCCAGCCAGCCGTCTGCATGGTGGTGAGCCCCCGCCTCTTCCCCAGCTGCAGCTGGAAGTGGACCGCCTGGAAGAGCTGAAGCTCCAGAACCTCAGGAACGTGGTGGAGGCTATCCGGGCAGAGCTGGCCGCCTACTGGGACAAGTGCCTCTATGGGGAGGAGCAGAGGCAGGCCTTCAGGCCCTACTATCAAGGTGAGCCTGAGGGGCCCTGGAGCGCCGCTGCGGGGTGGGCGATGGCAGCTGCCGCTCCCTGACCAGCCCCTCCCCTCCCCTCCCCTCCCCAGACGAGTTCTCCGAGGAGCTGCTGCAGCAGCACGACGACGAGATGGCACGGCTGAAGCACCATTACGAGGCGCACCAGGACCTGTTTGAAGCGGTGCACAAGTGGGAGAAGAACTGGCGCCTCTTCCAGGAGCTCGAGGTAGCAGCGAGCGCTGGGCTGGGCGGGGGGCCGGGGCCGGGGCCGGGGCCGGAGCTCAGCAGCCGGGGCTGGGCGGCGCCTCACCATGAGCCTTCCCCTGCGCAGAGGAAGGCCACGGATCCGAGCCGCTTCACCAACCGGGGCGGGAACCTCTTGAGGGAAGAGAAGCTGCGGGCCAAGCTGCAGAAGACGCTCCCGAAGGCACGTGTCTCGCCCGCCCTGCTACGGGGGGAGGCCTGGCCCGCATGGGGCCCCACTCAGCTAACGGGCCCTCCTGCGTTGCAGCTGGAGGAGGAGCTGCGTGGGCGTGTGGAGCTCTGGGAGCGGGAGCATGCGCAGGACTTCACGGTGCGCGGACAGCGCTTCCTGGAGCACGTGGCCGAGCAGTGGAGCCTGCACCAGCTGGAGAAGGAGAAGGAGAGGCAGGAGCGCGTGAGTCTGGCAGGCGAGGCAGCCCTCTCGCCACACACACCCGGCCTGCGCCCGGCCTGCTGCTGGCGCCCGAGGGGGGCCTCCCCGTCTGCCCGGCCGCAGCATGGCATCCTCGGTGGCTTGTGCACAGAGAGGAGCGCCTTCCAGTGCTGCAGGGGCGGTGGGGGCCAGGCCTTCGTTTGCAGCGGCAGCAGGGCGGTGTCTCGGCAGCCCTTGCTCGTCCTGGAGCTCAGCTTGAAGCCTGCGCTGGGCCTCTGGCACGTCTGCAAAGGCCGTTCGCCCAGTGCAAGCAGCTCAGCCTTGCAGCTGGCCCAATATGTGCCAAGCCCCGACCTGGGCCTCCGTCCGTCCCCACAGCCGTCGGTCTCTTCTCTCTTCCAGCAACTCAAGAAGTCGCGCCTGATCGAGGAGGAGATGATGTACGGCAGCACCCCCACCAAGAGGCGGGGTGCTGGCCTGGTCACTCCGGGCAAGGTGCCTCGGGTACGTGTGGCAAGGCGTTCCCGCCCCAAGTCGCGGAGACGCTGTGGCTCCACGTGTTCGCGAAGGTGGCGATCACGTGCCGGGGTGGGCAGGGGGCTGCTTGCCAGCGCTCCTCCACTGGCACGGAAGCGGGAAGCTGCGCTGCCTCCCTGCCGGGCTGCTCACGGCCGTGGCCGCCGGCTCTCTTGCAGCTCAACGTCACGGCCTGCACCCCCAACAGCACCACCCGCTCAGCCCTCGGCATCTCGGCATTCAATTCGCCCGCCCCTCACCTCCCGCTCTCAGGAGGGAAGGTGAGCTGCTTTCTTCTCATCATCACTGCCTGGGGGGAGCCTGCTGGCACCAAGCAGAGGGCTGGGGAGAAGAGGCCCCCAGAGTCCAGCTCAGCTGGCTCAGTTGCCAGGGAATGCTGGGGAGGATGCCAGGGTAACTGGGCCGGGGGCCTCCGCGCCGTGCAGGACAAAGGCAGAGAGCTCCCTTTCTCGAACTGCTGCATTCTGAATTAGCGCGAAGCAATTAGGAACTCGCCAGCCAGGGCAGCTCCATTGGCGGCAGGTTCAGGGGGCCGAAGAGGCAGCTCAAGTCGTAGGCCAGGTCTGCAGCCCTCTCCTGAGGTGCCCCCGTGGCTGTCTTCGGAAGCAGTAACCACCGCCACCCTCCCTGCCTCCACAGCCCGTCCGGACGCAGAGGCGCGCAGTCCCCAAGCCTTCACGCCCAGACCGCGTGGAGCACAACAAGGAGAACGTGGCCCAGCTGGGCAGGATGCCTCTACGCGGTGGGTGCACCCCCATAGCCCCCGTCCAGCGCACCTGCAGCATTAATTCTGTTGCCAGCACCTATTCCGAGTTTGCGGTAATTTCTTCTCAACACATGCGTGGCCAGCAAGGCGCCCCCCCCCCCCCCCGTGCCTCTCCTCTGCCCTGGGGGCTGCAACCCACCTCTGCCGGCTCCCCCCTCTGCAGCTCCTCAGCCAAGTCCTCGGTGGTGCAAGCAGCTTCTCGGGGATGCTCTGCAAAGATTCCATCTCCAGCGGGCAGAGAGGGCCGTGCCTGCAGCAAGCAGCCGTTCTGGGGCCCCAAGGGCCTGCTGCAGCCGCTGGAGCAGCAGGCAGGCGTGGCAGGAAGTGCTGCGCTTGCCAAGAGCCACCTGGACTGGCTTCCTGGCAGAAGCAAATGCCTGCGCCTGCCGCCAGCCCTTTGCAGCAGCGCCCACCTCCTGCGCGTGCTTCCCCAGCCCCGTCCCGGGCCTCGCAGGGGGACCCCTGCAACGGCAGGCACGTGGCATGCACCCGAGGCCGGGGTGAGCAGCGGGCCAGCTCCCTTCGGGCTGCCCTTGAAGCAGCTGCTCCGCGTTTCTAAGGAGGGACTTCCTCCGGACTTTGCAAGCTGTGCTTGCTGCACCCGGACCTGCTCCTTCCCCTTCCTTCTGGCCGTGGGGGAGGGGGTCTGTGGGGGGGGTGCACACAGCCCCGAGAGAGGGGTGGGGACTGCTGCTTTATGGTCATGCATTCCTGCTTCCTTTCCACAGCACGGACTTTCAAAGGCCTCCAAATCTGAGTTCCGATCATGCACCCTCAACTCCACCGCGTCCAACGTGGAGAGCTGAAGAGTGGCCGGCTGGCCCTGCCAAGAACGGCAGCCACCCGGCCAGCCCAGCCCCGCAGCCTCCCCACCTGTGCAGCCCGGCCGAGGAGGAGCCCTCACCATTGTTTTTACCGTAATGGCTTGTTGCAAGATGGACCTGTTCCCAAAAGCGAAGAGTGTGGGGAGGCAGGCGCGGGCCTCCTCCATGCTCTGCTGTCTGTGCGCGTTTCCAGTGATGGGGGCTTGAGCAGGGCAGCGCCTTCCCCCTGCAAGCTGCCCACTCCCTCTGCCAGGCAGTTTTAGCAGGAGGCCACTGGCCAGGCCAGAAGCTATCGCTCGTGGGAATCAGGAGGGTGGGCTCAGGGGCTTTGCCGGACTCCCTGCAGGGCTGCCCATAGACAAAAGTTTCTCCCCTAGTTAAGCTGGTTTTGTAAACTTTATAGCAAAAAGCTCCTCTTGTGAGCCTCCGCCTTAGGATTGAAGGGAGGAGATGGAGCGAGATAGCAGCATCTGTGCCTTGCTCCCAATGACAACTAGATTCGCACCTTGTTTTCACTACAGCCCTATTATTTATTTGTATGCAAAAGTACTTGTGCTTTGTTTATTCAGTATGTCGGAGAACAGCAGGTAACTGGTCATTCTGGGTAGGAACTGGGGCTGGAGTGAAGCACCTGACCCTCCCACAGGCACCCCTTCCTGGGCTTGGGGGCTGGGCTGCTTCTCTGGATCGGTACGCCCTGCATTCTCCTGCTGCTCAAGCAACTGGAAGAGAGCTTGACTGCAGGCCAGAAATGCTGTTCTGCATGAAATGACTGTTACTCATTTGTCTGTCTTGCACATTTTAACTCAACATAAAACAGTATATTCTGCACTTGGGCCTGGTCTCTTTAATGGGAAAGCTGCCTTTGAAAACGGATGAGTCTAAGCACGACTCCCCAAAGCAGCTGCTGGGGCCCCCGAGACACAGCGAGTGCCGCACACCTGACGGGGGAACAGGTGGGCCGGAGCTCCAAGCGCTCGGGCTGGGCTCCGTGTGGGTGGGCTGCTGGGCTCCCGGCCATGGCAAGCCTGTCTTGCCCCCAGCTACCTCGGCCCATCTCGGAGCAAGGGCTTCCTTTCCAGGCGACCGCCATCTTCCCGGTGCTGCTGCTCCACGGCGTGAATGTAAGTGCTCCACGGGCCACACACCACATCAGCCACGCGTAAGCCACGTTCCGCGAAGTAGCGCACTCTCCTGGGCTGGTCAGAGCTGACTGTGTCCCCGTGTCCCAGCTGGCCGTATTTGCCTGTGGGCGAGAAGAGCGAGGAGGACCGTCTCCTGAGGGGAGGCCGCTTTCCCCGTGGGGCAGCCAGCGGGGAGTCTCGGTACTTACCCCAGCCCCAGGTGTACAGCTCACCAGTGCCTGAAAGATGGCGAAAGGGAGAGGTGAGGCAGAGTCCCTGCTGCACGTCAACACGAAATGGGGCAAGGTCACGGGTGGGCAGCTAAGTGGGGCCGTGAAATGAACAGAAAGGGAAGGCAGACGACTGTCCGATCACAAACGGCAACAGAGGAGCCCTGGATGGGTGCAGCTCATTAGCTAAAAGAAGGCGCGACCTGCAAACTCGGGGATCCGCTTTCTTGTCCTTTGACGGGAGCAACTGCTCACTTCCTGATTACGCTGCCTTTCCTGTTGAGTATGGATCTTGGTAGTAGCTAGGCTCAAACATCCCGGTGTCTGTCTAAAATGTAGCAGCACGCTTTACAACCCTTGACCTTTTCTGAGTTTGTATGGTTTTCCCGTTTCTTCCAGAAAGAAAGAACTGCAGAATTCCTTTGGGGGTGAGGGGCAGGGAAGTCCTGGCTGGGTTACCTGAAGCCGCCAGCCATGCCCAAGAGTCCCGTTCTCTTACTTGTCACAGCGGCAGTGTGTCGCGATCCACAACTGGCCCTGCTGACCTCTGCCCCGTGAGGCATGTCCAGCAAAGCGGGCAAGGCCTGGACTGAGATGAAGCCGGCTTCGCCACCCACACGGTCTTCCACCACTTGCTGCTGTCCTACTTGCAGCTCCACATCCTCTAGAAAAGGGAACGTCTGCTCAGTGAGACCACCAGAACTCTGCCCACGCTCAGAGGCCAGGCCCAGTCCAACAGCCACAGGAGCGAGCCTGCCCTGGGCCAGGTCTAGGGAAGAGTACCTGCCTCTGCCTCCAAGGAAGGGCGCTGGGCCTGGGGCACTTCCCCGCTGCTCACATCCACTGGAGCAGCTGCCTGACTCTCAGCCACAGCTTTGGAAGGCAGCGCAAGCTGCCCGGACTCATTCCAGCCCCACACGTACAAGTCGCCGGTCTCTGGAAGAGAAAGCTGCACTTAGCCCTCCAGCCCCCCTTCCAGCCACGCCAGGAAAGGGTGATCCCCGGGAAAGGCGGGGCTCGCTCTGGGCCCCCACTCAAGCCAAATGGTGCTTGTTCGCCCTGTGCCACAACCACAAAACGCCACCTTTCATGCTGCTGCTAAAGAGGCCGGAGCCCCGATTTGGTACCCGTCCCCAGGCCGAGGAAGTCGACAGAGTGGCCTCAGCACGGATCATTGCAAAAATGGCTCTCGATGCCACAGCTCTCCCCTTGCGCCAGGCTGCCCCTGCGGAGAACACAGGCAGCCCTGCCTTACCACTGACGGCGGTGGAGTGCCAGCCACCTGCGCTGACTGCCACTACCAGGATCCCGTGCAAGGCCTCCACCAGCCGCGGCTCCGGCCCGCTCTCCAGCTCCCCGTGACCCAGCTGCCCGTGCCTGGGAAAAGAGGACCAAGCGGCAGTGGTGCTCAGCCCGCCCTAACCCTAACCCCCCTCCCCGGGCCAGCCTCACCTGCCACCGCCCCAGGAGAAGACGGTCCCTGCCGCGCTCCGCAGCACCGCGTGTTCGTGGCCCAGGGCTAGCTGGCGAGCTTGCAGCGCGTCCGGCAACGGCGTGAAGAAGGGAGGCCGTGGGGCCACGTAGCCGCCGGGTACCAGGGGCAGATCTGCGGAGCAAGAGAGCGAGCGGGCTGCCGGGAGAGCTGCCAGCCGGAGCGAGCTTGCGCGGGCAGCCCCCTTGGCCCCGCCGCTGTCCTACCTGCTGCAGCCGCGGCCTCCGCGGGAAGCTCCCGGCGCCACGCCGGCTGCCCCTCCAGAAGGCCGGGCGAGTCCTCCTCCGCCCCCAAGGGCCAGCCCTCCAGGGCGGCCTCCCGCAACAGCAGCAGGTGCGTCTCCGACGGCAGCGCGTCCAGGCAGTCCCGGGGCAGCGTTGCGCACAGCGCGCCCTGCAGCACCGGCCCCGACGCGGGACCTGCGGGAGGAGAGCGGGCGGCGCGAGTGGCGGGCGGGCGGCGCGCGGGGCCGCATGGCGCTGCCGCCGGAGAGCAAGCCGAGAAGGGCGCCTGGCGAGGCAGTTTGGCCAGCCCCGGAAGAGCGGCGAGCGGGGCCCCGCGGGCGCGGCAGGGCACCCCCGCCGCGGCCCGGGAGCGTGCGCTCGGCTCAGCGCGGAGACCGGGGGCGGCCTGCGGGTGGCCGCGCTTGGAGCCCTCCGGCGCGGGCCCGGCGGAAGGGGCTCACCGGCAGGCGTGATCACCGCGTAGCTCCAGGCCGCCCGCACGCGCCGGATCTGCCCGGCCTCGCCGAGCGCCGCCGGCTCCAGCCCATCCTCCGTCCTCGTCCCGAAGCGGAACCCGAACTGGAACCAGCGGCCGGGACGAGCCGAGCCCGCGCCGCCGAGCTCCTCCATTGCGCCCCGTCTGCTCGGCAGCCGGCCGCGCGCAAGCTCCGCCTCCAGCCGGGCCGCGCCGTCCGGCGTGCGCGCCCGCGCCCTGCGCCGCGCCCGCTCGCCGAAGGGGGGCGAGGGCGCCGGGGCGAACTGCGGCTTCCCGGAGGACGGGCCACCCTGGCTGGGCGCGGGTGCCGCTTGCACCGACGTTGCAGCACAACGTTGTGCCACAGTATTCACCTCCATTTAATGCCTGCAAGGAAAGTGTCAAGCAAAGCTCCACGATGCAACCACTTGGATTTCATCTTTCCAAACGTTATTAAAAGGTGAGGGTAAAGAACCCAGGAGAGCATAAGCCAGCTACTGGCCACATTGGAATAGTTTGCTTTCTGCTCGTTAGAGCAACTCACGGGGGGGGGGGTAGTTTGCCAAAGGCAGGAGCCACCAGAATGGGTCCTGGTTAGTCCTCAAACTGAATCGTGTGGCTCTTGTAAACACACTTCACAGCCGTCCACTCAGCCATGAAATCTTCACCTGCCTAGTTCAAAGCAATCCGTGAACAACTTATTTTCCGAGGGGTGGGGAGGGGTTCATCTATCAGCACTGCTGCTGAGAACAATGGATGGCAAAAGGAGGAGGGGATGGCAGAGGATGCGGTGGCTGGACGGAGTCACTGAAGCTGTCGGCGTGAGCTTGGTGGACTCCAGGAGATGGTGGAGCACAGGAAGGCCTGCAGGACTGTTGTCCATGGGGTCACGATGGGTCAGACACGACTTCGTGACTAAAAACTCCTGGAATCTGCAATATGGGTAGCACTGAATGCATCCAAAGGGATTTCAACTATGTGGCAGCGCCTGACTCCGCAACAGAACCTGTTAACTCGGGCAACGCAAGCTAACCTGGTTCCCTTCCTTCCCATTCAGGCACTTTTGCCCAAGCACCATTCCAAAGCGCACTTTGCTGGCTGGCTGGCTGGCTGGCAGATGGGTCAACAGCAAAGCTGCCGCAAAACGAGCACTGCGCTGCAAACCGGCTCGACTGACGCTCGGTGGCGGCCAGAGCCGAGGGCCCTGTGCTGCCTCCACTGGCAGGGGGAATCTGTCCCACACACCAGTTGCTGCCTTCATGTCCTGCCCGCGGGGAGCAGGCTGGCCACTGTGTGAACAGGACGCCGGACTAGCCGGACCCTGCCTCGCCTGATCTGCAAGGAGCTCCTGTTCACAAGATACTTTGCACTGCATTTTGTGTTACCCATTATACAACTCACCTGGGGCTGAGTCTTTCATACAGAAGCTTTTCAGATCAATGGAACGAACATGGCTTCCAGCTCTTGGAATCAAATCAGGTCACTCCCTACAGCAAAGGTTTCTATGCACAGGCGGCAAGAAAGGCATGCGCCTGCTCATCAGGCCCTTCTGCTCCCTGCACCTCCACCCAGAGGTGGGTATAAAGCCGACATGTCAGAGAGACACAGACGCTTCCGGCTCTGCAGACACAGATTTCTGGCCCTGGAGGACAGTTCACGAGTCTTGGACCGCTTTTGCCTCCAACTCTTCCTTTCTTGGGAATTCCCAAATCACCACTTTCAGTATCCATTTAACATCACACATAACCACCTCACGCCAAATATACTGGAAGCGATGATGCTGTTAATCTCCCCCGCTCGCCTTTTATGGCGTGACTTGCACTGTGCAGCTCCCGACTGCAGCCAGTAAATTGACTGGATTTGCTGGGACAGAGTGTGTGTTTCCCTCCCAATTCAGTTCCAGGCCATCACCACTTGGCTCGTTTGGGGCATTCAAACACTGTAACTTCAAGAACTGTGTGAATTTGCTTTACAGAAAGGAATATTTGCATAGTTTTCCTTGTTAGCTCCGTACAATACGCCACTTGTCCCTGAAGTGTCACTGCTCGTAACGGAAGCCCTCATTTGCCAGAGAGGGCCGGGAATGCAAACAGCAGGAGACTCAGCAGTCAAGCACAGCAGTGGAAGGGCGGCGTGGTGGGAAGGCAGCTTCCCGGCTCACAAGGCAGCGGGAGGGAAGCGGGCCGCAGACCCCGGGGTGGGGGCGAGTGCCGCACACAAGCAGTGCCCTCCAGCGGCAGCTGACAGGAAGTGCACCGCAGCAGCGGCCGAGCGGCCCCCAAGCCCTCCGCAGAAGCCGGACTCCCGTGGAACCTGCCCGCCATCATCATGCCGTCACGGCGGTGCCAGCGAGAGACGTTCCCAGAGAAAGACGAGCCCGAACATCCGTGTGCTGCCCAAAGCCGTCCGCTGCATCGCCACACAAAGCCCCGGCAGGCGAGAAAGGTGCCCACAGGCCGCGGGCAGGGCGGGCAGGCCTGGCCGGCAGAGCCCAGTCGCGCCTTCCCTGGCCCCAGCACCCAGCGCTCAGCAAGCCCAGCACCAGCCGCGTGTGTCCGCACAGGCCGCGAGAAGACAGCTTCACTGCCCGCTGGTGGGGCTGGCCTTGATCAAGCCGTACGCCACGGCCTGGGCCAGGCACTCTGCGGCGGCCTGGGCCACTTGGGGCTTGTCGCCCCGCTTGGCCGCGACTGACAAGATCTCCAGCGTCTCACTCTCCATTAGCTTCGCGGCCACCTCCTGGTCCGCCGCCACCATGTTCCTTGCCACCACGGCGCCGCGGTGCTGGAGCTCCACACTAGGGCTGAGCAGCAGAGCCTGCAGGATCACCTGCCATTCGGTGGTCTGGAGAGAGGGGGGCAGTCAGGGGCTGGAGGGGAGCCGCTCGTGTGCCGCCGCTCCGCGCAGAGATGGGGGCCGGCCCGGACAGCTCCACAGGGCGTCCAGGGAGGACAAGGACGCCGTGCTGCTGGGTCACGAAGAGCCACGGGGCCCCTCGGCCCCAGCCGTGGCGAGAGGAGGAGCAGGAGCTCCGCCGCCCCATGGCCTGCCCGGGGCCCCCCCATTCCGCACCAACAGAGCGATGGAGGAGAGGGGAGCAGCCGGGCGGAGCAGGCCAGCACAGCTCCCTCGTTTCCTTATGGGCCCACCCGGCCCCCAGGGCACGGCGGATCCACCACTCGCTGCCGCACGCCAAGGGAGCACTCACCGTGTCAGGGATGCGGGTGCAGATCGGAGGCAGCAGTGACGTAAGCACCGCCAGCGCCCCAGAAGCCGCCTGACGCAGCCGCTCATCCTCCTCCCCACTGTAGAGGACCAGCAGCTTCAGCCGGTCGCTCCCTTCAGCCAAGAAGAGCTCGGCGACCTGTGGGGAAGGCGGGCGCATGTGGGGGGAGCCCTCCTCAGGGCCGGCATGGCCGGGCCCAGCCCAGCGGGCCGCCCCCGCTCACCTCCGGGTGCAGCACCAGGTTGCACATGCACTCCGTGGCCGCCAGGCGGATCATCTCATGCTCCTCAAACATGTAGCCCTCGACCAGGGGCACGGCCTTTTCCTTCACGATCTTCTGCCTGCGTGAGGGAAGCCGTGAGGCGGCAGCGGCGGCCCGGCCCGGCCCGGCCCCGGCCCCGGCCCCAGGGCACGCACAGCAGCCTTACCTGAGCCGCTCGTTGGTCCCAGCCAGGTTGGTGAGCGCCATCAGCCCCTCAAAATTCTGCAGGCCGGTGCAGTTCAAGTGCAGGAGGCCCACCAAGGGCCGGACCACCTCAAAGATCTGCACGGGGAAGCACCAGGCTCAGGCAGCGGCCCGCTCCTTTGGAGGAGGCAGCTGGGGGGCAGCGAACACTCCCGCTGCCGGCCAGGCCATTCCGGGGACCTGGCCACGCACCCCCCACCCCGGGCGCATGCCGCTCCACACTGACCCGCTCTCCTGGGAAGGCCATCTCGGGAGCCGTGGTGATGGCGATCCTGGCCAGGGCTTGTGCTGCCTTGGTCTGCCCTGCCTTGGTGCCCTCCAGGGCCAGCGGGATGAGAGCCTGGGCAGGGAGAGAGCAGGCCGGCCGGGTCAGCCCCACCGCGATCTGCTCCGCGGAGCCGGAGCCAGGCCTGGGGAGCGGCTGCGATGCTCACCTTGCCCCCTCCAGCAGCGACCACGGCTCCTCTGTCCTCTGGGTCTTCCACGACAGCCAGGAACACCCTGCAGGCCCAAGGCACCAGTCAGTCACAGATCCACCCAGCCCCCAGCACCCAAGCTGTGGGGACAGGCTGGAGCAGGGAGCAGGCTCCCGTCACTGCCCCTTCTTCGCCATGGAGGCGGCTGGACAGCCACAGGTGGGAGAGGCCAGAAACAGCGCAAGGCGCTGCCCCTCCGAGGTGCAAGTCCACCGGTCCCACTGAGCCCAGCCCTGCTGGCCTGTGGCCAGACCAAGGACCACGTTGGGTGGTGGCAGGAAGTCTGAGCACAAACTGGGGGTCCGGCTTGAGGGCGCTTTTTGGGCAGCTTCAACTTCAGGGCAGCCAACTCACGGCCCTCTCGCGGTGGTGCCCACCATTCCCATTTCTGGGGCGAATGGTCCAGAGACGGCTCTTGGGAGTTGCCACCATCACTGTGCAGACAGGCAAACAGCAGCGGTCGCCCCAAGAGACCGGGCTCTTCGTCGCGGCCTGCATTCTGCCGGTGGAGTTTCAATCATGGAAAGTACTACGTGCACAGAGCCCTCTGGGGCCACAAGCCGCTCCTTGCTGCTCGCCCCACGAGGGGTCCTCAAGAGGGCCGGGCCAGTGAACCCACTCCAGAAGGTGCTCCACGCCACTGCCAGGCCTTACCTGGAGATCAGCTCCCGACAGGCGGCGCTCAGGGGTGGGCTCTCACTCTTCACCATGCAGACCAGAGCGGACACCACGCCAGCAGCCAGAAGCTTCTGCACGCGCCTGCGCACAAACTCTGGCTTGTCCTAGATGGGGGAGACAAGGCAGGGGGCTCAGGAATGCACGGGAGGGGGGTACCAAGCCCACCCTGTCTCCATCTTGTCCCCCCGTCCCCAAGCTTCGTGTTTCCAGAGGCCTGCCACCCCGATCCACAGCCTTGGCAGGACCGGATGGCTGACCTGGGCAGGCAGTGGGTGGGGAGGGAGGGGAAGCCAAGCCCGGGCACACGCCCCGTGGCACTGGCAGGCTTGCAAGGCCCCACAAGCTCTGCCAGCACCTCCTCACCTTTGGATGCTTCTCGGGGATGTGCTGCTTGGCGTACTTGGCAAGCTCCACCATCTGGGGGTCCGGCTCTTCTTGGTCGTAGCTGTTGGTACAGTTGACAAGCGTGGACGCCACCGCAAACAGCAAGCTCCGGTTCTCGGACTGCAGGGGGGAGCCAGGGAAGAGCCAGGGAAGAGGCAGGGCGGTGAGTCAGCGGCTCCCCAGGCCGGTGTCCCTGACCTGCTCCTCTGCCACCGGAAGACTACCTGCGCCTCACCCAGGAGGCGGACCTGCTTGCAAGAACTGCCCACGGGCCTCAGCACCCTCAGGCTATGAGACGCCAGGAATGCACGGGAGCTGCCTGGGGGCTGCCTCTTTAGAGTGCACCAGAAAAGATGCCAGTTCCCCCACGGGCCTGTCCTGCCTCCGGCACCCGCACGAGCCACGCACCCTGAGGCAGCCCCGGCTGCATCACTCCAGCCTCCAGAGGCGGCTGGGAGGCTGGATGCCCCACGGAGGAGTGTGAGGAAGGAAGGAAGGAGCCCTGGCTGGCACAGTGATTCCTACAGTGGGGCAAGAGAGGCTTCCGTCAGGCAACCCCCACCTGCAGTCCAAAGCGGTACAGCCCGGACACGGTCCTTCCAGATCCGGCGGCTCCCCCGCTGGTGCATCTCCGACCCACAAAGGGCCGAGGATGGCCCCCCTTGCCTGCCCGCCACACCCGCCCCCCCGGGTGCTGCGAGCCGCCATGCCGGAGCGCTCTCTGGCGATGTGCTTCCTGGCCACTGACCGGGCAACGAGGCAGCAGCTGGCGACCCTACGGTCGTCCTAAGCAGGCGCCACGGCGAGCCTCGAGAGGCAAGAAGGGGCAGGCCCCCACCCTCCTGCTCCGCGCAAGGGCTACCTGTGTGAGCTGGAAGAGGGCGTGCAGCGCGGCCCCGTCCTGCGCGAGCTCCTCCTTGACGTCCGCGTCCAGCGTGAGGTAGGCCAGGCCCTCTGCTGCCCAGCGCCGTGTGCCCGCGTCGACGGCCTCGTTGCACAGCCACCTGAGTGTGGGGAGGCCGCCGGTCAGGACAGCCCGAATTTCGGGCCAAGGGAGGCCGGCCGAGCAGGGGCGCAACCCGTGCAGACAAGCCCCCCCCCCCCCCCGACGCGCCCCCCCTTGCGGCACTGCTTGGCCAGCTTCAGGGTGGAGCCCTCTGCGAACTGCTTCATGCTGAAGTCCGTGCCTCCGGCCGAGCCCAGCTTGCAGAGGCCCTGCGAGGAGAAACCCCGTGAGGAGGCACAGCTGGGGAGGAGCAGGGCGGCTCGGGCCTGCCTCCAGGCCCCCCGCCGCTCCAGAAGACGCAGCCCCCCGGGGCCCGCAGCCTCACCACCAGCGCACGGATGCGAATGCTGTCCCGGTCGCTGTGCTTGTAGATCTCCTTGAGCAGAGTTACGCCATTGGCCGAGATGAAGGAGGCGTGCTTGGCCTTGTCGGCGGCATGGATCAGGGCCTCCACAGCCACCAACTGGTCAGCCTCACGGGAAGAGGCGCACAGGGCCAGGATGCTCTCCATGATGCCGCTCAGCTCCAGCACCCGGTTGCCGGCCTCGGAGGGGCCCTGCAGGAGGACTGCTGCGGTTTGGATGGCCCGGAGCTTCCCAGGCACGCTCTCGTCCTGGAACCAGCCCCTGGAAGGGGAAGGGGAGGGGGGGGAAGGGGGGGAGGGTGCGGCCCGCATCAGGCAGTGCACGGCAGAGCTCCATCCCGACAGAATTAGCCACCCGTTACATACAATCAACACCCCTTAGCACCAATTACCCACTGCTGAAGAGGCTCAAGTCCTTCTCCAGGGTCATGATGCCAAGCAGACATCGTAAATTCTGTCTGCAGCAGGAAGATGGCAAATGCCACACTCCAGCAATTTTCTTTTAAAAATTATTTTAATAAAAAAAGAATGCAGAAAACGAAAAAGGATACCAAGGGATCTTACACAAAAATTGCATATGGTACAAAGATTTTTAAAAAATCACAAAAAACAGTATTGGTTTTTTCTTTTACACTTAGTTAATTAGTACTCAATAGAAACTTATAGAACAATTAGTTTAACAAACTCTATTAAGTAAGTTGTATAAAACAGGCTTTCCACATCATTAAATTGTTCAGCAGGTCTTACATTAACGTACCTAGTTTTGCCATTACTGCAAACCCGGCTAATTTGTGTTTCCAGTCTTTAGTCAGTCTTCTACTTTGCTTTGTTGTTGCTACAACTCTAGCTGCTGTTATCACGTTTACATAACTTTACCACACTCTTGGCAGAGTTTCCTGTACAATATTCAGCAGCGTATTCTTAGTGATTCTTTTTTTGCTTGATTCCTTAGCCCACAGAAAATTATGCATTCTCTCTCCCAAATCTGTTTCCAATTTCACTAATTTTTCATTAGAATTTATTATCTAATCTGTAATCCAAGCTAAGCCAACTGCAGAATATCATCACTTGATATTAGATACTATGAGATCTTATTTTTTCATCTTGTAGTACTTTAAATCTAATGCTTGTTTTTCCCCCATTCTAAATAAGGGTATTTAATTGTCTTTGCCATTCTTGAAGGATTTTTCCCTGTATGAAAACTGGGATCATATGAAATGACAAAATCAATTTGGGTAAAACATTCATTTTATAATGGAAATTCTTCCCAACCATAACACTTCTAATTTAGACCATCTCTGCAGATCCTTTTGAACCTTCATCCACATTATTTTGTAATTGCCCTGAAATAATTTATTATTCTGTTCAGCCACATTTATTCCCAAGTACTTACCTGAGTTGGAAATTATTTCACATCCTGAAATTCTTTTAAATATTTTCCTTTTCTTGTTTTGTTGTAAGTTTAAAAATTTTTCCTTATTAATTTTACAGCCAAAAAACCCCAAAGTTGTTCAATTTGAGCTATTATATACTGCATGGATAGGTGTGAATTTAAGCTCAATACTATATCATCAGTAGAATTTTTCATTTTATATTTTTCTCCATCTACCTTCAGACCTTTTATTTTTTATCTTGTCTTATTTTTGTAGCTAAAGTTTCCAAAATCAGGATAAATAAAAGTGGTGATGATGGGCATCCCTGACGTGTTCCATTTTCCATCTGAAAACTATCAGCAGTACTTGACTTACGAAGATTATCTTCAAGGTTATTCCTGTCAAAAGCTTCCAGAATCCTTTGCGACTTATTACATCTGCTCTGGACTTCCAAAGGGCCACTTCGATTTGCCCTTTTGGTCTCGATCTTCACAGGCAAGCCCTTTTCCACCCCCACCCACTTCACACCCCCACTCCTGTCACCCCCATGCCTTCTGGCAAAACTCAGGGTTAGTTGGGAGTCCCCTACCCCAAGCTGCCCACAGACCTACCTGACGTAGTCCTCACAGAGCCGGTGGAAATTCTCCCGCTCTCCGTCACTCTTCAGGTCCCCGTAGAGCTTGCTGAGCAGGACAGCAGCGCTCATGTGGGTGTTGTCCGTCACCCGCAGGCCTCCGGCGCTGTGCCGCACCGTGCTTCCGACCTCCAGGATCTCCTTGAGACCTGCAAGGACCCTGATCCTCAGTGCCGCCCCCACAGGCTCCGTAACGGGGGGGGGGGGGGGCAGGAGGCAGTCTTACCCTGGTCAATGGCCCAGAGGGTCAGGCTGTTGTCAGGAGTCTGCAGGGACTTCCGGGGAACCACACTGATCAGCAGGTTGAGGATGCCGTCGCGGCCGTAAGAGGAGATGCTGCCCTGAGTCAGGGCCTGCAGCAGACACTTGAGCAGCATTTTCAGCTCCTCAGAGCCATCTGTGCAATTTGCGCCACCGGGAGGGAGTGGGAATCAGCACCCGGGGCCCCCACCTGGCCAGGAGCGAACCTCCCCCCTCTCCCCACAGACTGGCACAACTTGATACAAGCCGCTCACTGACACTGCTCTCAGAATGAACCACAGGGAGACCCTGGGCAACTCCAGCATCTATGGGGGGACAGATAACAAGCTGGGTGGGAAGCCTCAAAGACTCTGCCGCCTCCGTGCAGCCTAGCAGTCCAATGAGAGCAGGCCAGACTGCAGCCCAGTGGCAAGCAGAGTTCACGGCGTTTCCTAATTCGAGGGTACGCCTGCACTGAAACCTCAGGACTTTGAGGTCTTAGACCTGACAGAAGCCTTACTCCCTTCCCTTGCAGGCACACTGACCACAACATATGGCATCTGAAAGAAGACCAGCTAGCAAAGCCCCATTCACAAGGGCAGGAAAGCAGCCAGAAACTCACCCAACACCAGAGCACCCTCCTTCTTGGGTGCAAGCCGCTGGAGACCCTCCTTGAGGGCATCAAACATGACCTGAAGCAGATTGTGGGTGGCCAGAGAGACATGCTCATCCTCCACCTCCAGCACAGCAAGGAGGCGCTGGGGCCCCAGCTGGGCCAGGATCGCCGCAGTCTGCAAGAAAAGCGCCCATCCTGAGGCTGCGGGAGCGATCCAGGCCCTTCTCACCACTTCCTCCTCTGGGTCAATCCCAGTCCCCCTTCCCAACCATAACCCAGGACTTGTCCCTCTGGCAGGTAGCTCTACCAGTGCCCCTGGATTCCTCGGAGTAGAGCTAACACACTCGGGCAGTGAGAGGGTCTGGGTTTTCCAAGGGGACAGCAACACGTAGGAGTGGTGCAGCGGTGAAGAGCACGGGCCTGGGACGCAGGCGGTCTGGGTTCTGTTCTCCATGCAGCCATGGCAGCTACTGGGTGGCTCTGGACCAGCCACAGACGCTCAGTCAACTTTCCTCCCAGGGCTGTTGCTGAGGGCAGGAGGAAGAGACCGCTGTGTGCTGCACTGAGTACTTTATTAGAAAAAGGGTTGGATATAAATCCAACAAGCAAAGAAGTCAGAGGTCCAACCCTTTCCTTTACCTACATCAAAATGGCAAAGGACTTGCCTGGTGCTGGTCAAGGAGACGAGCCAGAAACTTCTCCTGAGCACTGGGCTGCAGAGGTGAAGGGCCGCTGCTGCTGCACACCCTTTGCCAGCCTGAGGGGACAGAAAGCCACCTCCACCTCCCTTCAGGAGCCCCATGCTGGGGGACAAGGGGGAAAAAAGGCACTCTGAATTGTTCCCGGTCCCTCCCATGCATCAAACGCATGTAGCCAGGGCTAACCTCAGTAAGAAGGCTGCCCCAACTGTGTCAAGCTCACACATGAGATCATGGCTCAAGCAACCATTTCTACTCAGGTTGCGCATAAAACTGTCTTCTGGCAAGAAACAGGTACTACGCTTAAAACAAGAATCATTCGGTTGCATAATGACCAACATGTTGTTACCCGGGAACGATGCCCCTGGCATAGGCCAGTGAAGGTCCGCAGGGCTGCCAATGTCATATCCGGCTGGCCCAAATCCAACAGCCGCAGCAACAGGTGCACTCCGTCGCTCTGGAAGATCTTCTCTGCACCAGGTTCTTCTCGAGCCAGAACGATCAAATTCTGAGCTGCCTGGCCAGAGGGAGAACTGCTCAGTCCCACAAGCGTCCCCCCAATCTGCTACTTCCTATGTTAAAGCATCTCCCTTCCTAGATCAGACACACAGCTGAGGCTGTGCAGGAGATCCGTGGAAATCCTGCTCCAGAGGAACTCGCTCATGTTCATCTCATTCTTATGGAGCACCAGGAGCCATGGGGTGGATGCCCACAGGGGACACAGACCCAAAGAGCCACAGCTGTGGGGCCCTCACTACAAGACTGTAACTTACACCAAGTCACCCACCCAAACCAAGCCATGTGATCGGGCTTATTAAATGTGCAGCTATAGCATGTACAGAGAACATCCTGGGTTCACTGCTCAGTGAAAACAAAACCATCATGCAAATACATATTTACCGCGATTTTAGATCTCCCAATAACTGGGAATGCACAATGCTTACCATACCTCTGGAATTTACTCATGCATAATTTTCCAAATGCAACAGACTTTTAAGATGCAAAATTCTATACATGTGTTGTATATTTACAAATGAAAGATCTCCAGTCTGTTCATTAACAAGATCCATCCCCAACAGGCAGAAAGCTACCTTTTGCTTTTTATCCAGATCTTTTTCTTCAGTGTCCAACAACAGCTTAAACATCTGCTCCACTTTAGAGTCGGTACTGGACATGGCTCTCATCTGAGACAAAGAAGTAACTGGTGAGAAACTAGATTCACTGTGAGCCTGGAATCAAGATTACCAGTGGCTAACAAAGAGAGACAAAGATTCAGTGACATAGTACCTGCTCTGCAGGCACAGGCTCTCTGGACCATTCCAGGGCAACAATGGGAACCATCACTAACTGAAACCCCAGAGAGTCTTTGCCATCAGTCAGCAATAATAGTTCTGGCTAATATAGACAAATGGGCTGTTTTGGAAAGAAGTTTGTGTCCTGCTCTGGGCACCATATGCAAAGATACAGACAAGCGAGAAAAAGATCAGAGGAAGGCCACAAGGACGACCTGGGGACTGGAAACAAAGCCCTGTGAGGAGAGATGGAAAGAACTGGGCATGCTTGGCCTGGAGAAGCGCGAAGAGACACGTGGCAGCACGCCACAAGCGTCCGAAAGGCTGTTATAAGGAGGCTGTCTCCCACCTTCTCACACATGCTGCTGCCAAAGTTGTGCAGAGCCTCCTGGAAGACTTTATTCTTGGGTTCCAAGCTCAAACACCTCTGCAAATCTAGGATGGCCTGATCATGGCGGCCTAATTTCTGGAGAGCTTGGCTGCGACGGAAGAGGCTCTTTACGTCACGCCCATCAGCTTCTATGGCTGTGTACAGGCAAAAATGTGTAAGGAGCAGAAGAGGCTCCCAAAGCAACAGACACATGCGCACAGGCCAAGCACATACTCCTTACCTTTAGAAGCATCCGATTCGGCTTGGGTGTAGTTCTCCTGCAACAGAGACAAAATATATGAGCAAGTAAAAGGAAAGGCCATAGCCCCTCATCAGTGGAAGGATTACAGGGGGAGCATCACAGGTCCAGAAGCACTGAAGATGAACTCCAAAATCACGGTCAGCGGGTTGTCACTGACAACCCCAAGTGCCTTTCTGGTACCCAGGTCTCAGGAGGTGAGGCCATGCCTAGTTTTTTAAACTTAAAAAAGGAGCTCCCTCACAAAAGCTTCTCTGGGGCTGCTGCTTCAGTGCTGCATTCAAGAGCTCTGGGGCCAGGCAGGGGGCCTTCCACAGGGCAAGGCAGCAGGAAATAGCAACACATCCGCAGAGACGGAACTCCTGCGCCAGCATAAAAGATCCCAGGGCTGACATCCCACGGGGTTTCCAAGCAGGGCTAGGGGCCCCGGGGAGCCACGCAAGCAGCGCCTGACCCCTCTGCTGCCCTTCGGGGCTCGCCACGCGTCTTGGAAGGCTCAAGGAAGCCCACAGGGCGGGCGGAACGAGCCCATCAAGGGCCAGCGCGACGCGCCCCACCGACGCCCGCGCGGCCTTCACCGCAGGGCACGGCTGGCGCGGCGGCGGCGGCGGACGCGGAGCTCCTCCGCCGACGGCCCGCGGCAGCAGCCCTTCCCGGGGGCCGCGGCGGCGGCGACTCACCAGCTTGAGGTGGCAGGCGGCGCGATTGCGGTACAGGAGGGCGCGCTGCGGGCCGGGCCGGGCCTCCGGGGGGCACAGGCTGAGTGCTCGCGTGTACGCCGCCAGCGCCTCCTCGTAGCGGCCCTCCTGAAACAAGGCGTTGCCCTCCCGGCGGAGCTCCGAGGCCTGCGGCGCGGCGGGCGCGGGCGGCGGCATCGTCGCTTCCTCCTCCATGGCGCGCCGCGTGACGACAAGCGGGCGCGCCGCCGCTTCCCGGCAGCGCCCGGGCGCCGCGGGGCGGAGCCTCCTCGAGCACGTGCTCCGGGGCGGGCCGCGCCCT